AACCCCACGCGTTGAGTGATGTTGGAGTGCCGGACACATAGACGCGTTGAGTGCCGAATAGACAATATTGAACCTCACAGGTTGTTTGTATTGGAGATTGCGAGACACCTAGACGTGTTGAGTGAGGATAGCTGCATACTGAAACCTCACAGATGCATTGGTTTTTGCCAGACACATAGACGCGCTGAGTGGGGATAGCTGCATACTGAAACCTCACAGATAGATTGGTTTTTGAGTTTGCCAGACACAGACANGTTGGATAGTGCCAGACACATAGACGCATTGAGTGAGGATAGCTGCATATTGAACATAATGGGTTGAGTGACGTTTGCGACTGCCGGACACATAGACGCATTGAGTGACGAAAGCCACATACTGAAACCTCACAGGTTGATTTGTATTGGAGATTGCCGGACACATAGACGCGTTGGGTAAGGATAGTTGTATACTGAAAATCCACAGTAGCTATAGTGAGGGGACAATTCGAGAATGCAGAACACGTAGACCCGACCCCTAACCAGTACCCGAACCCCACCTGAAAAATAGACCATGCGCCCCCCCCCCCTCCACCTCCCCCAGCGGATGAGGAGGGTACAGTCCAAAGTAAGCACAAGCTTACCTAAGGTTAACGCCTATTGGGACGGCATTAAAAGACATACAAAAGTCCTCCATTGGGCGGTGGAGGACTTAGAGCTAAGAAACCCCAAAACTCTCCGGCATGAGATCCAAAATGGATCGGACGGTGGAGGGGGAAGGGGTGTTCGTTGCTTGAAGTGAATCAATAAAACGTAGAGCCATCAAGGCAAAGCTTATTACTCACGTCGAACACGCTGAACGACCAGACCAACCACGCAAAAACTGCGGAGCTAGATGTGCGACACGGACAATGCATTGTTTTCGATTGGAGAGAGGCGAGCATAAAGCAGTAAGAAAGTGTTGGCCAAACTTTCGGCAGATAGGTCTACTCGGGAGCGTAAGTGGGGTAGCAACCCATGGTGGAGCGTACATGAGAAGCTGGACGTTGGTGTACGCCCCATCCCGGCGTGTGAGTAGGATCTTAGGCTATGCAAGTCGTCCCTGAACTTATTGTGGTGAAAATGACCTCCCAGGAGGAAAGTAGCCTGTACCGCGGGACTTCGGAGATGATAAATTGGGTGGTCGGGGGACGTCTGGGCGATTACTAAGCAGATCGCCCGGCACAAGACTGGGGTACTTGTGTCAGGAGGTGTTGACTTGGATCTAGACCACGAGCCTATGTTGGAGGCGCTTTTTAGCGTCGGTGAGCCGGCAAAAGAACTGAAAGGAACCACAACCCCCGCCGGACACTCGGATTGGGAAGGCCGAGTATTCCGTATACCTTCCTGAAAAAACACGAAAAACAAGTGGCCACGGTCCAGTTGCCGTAGAGATCATGAGGATGGTGAAGAAGCCGGGAGGATGGAAGCAGAAACGGTGGAAGGGAGTTAAGTTGGAGCTGCTACTGTTTAGGATTCCAAGGGACATGACGAG